AGAGTTTAGTAAATATTTATATTGATTAAACTATTAACAAATCCCTTTACACTAGTCATTATTATATTGCTTTCCTGCCCTCTCCTCCCCTGAATGTTTTTCCTAGAATACAGTAAACACGTATAGGGAAATTTCGCGCCTCAGGGGCCTTGGCTGTCTGAAACACCTCCCAGGCGTTCGCTGTGGAGGTGACAGTACCTACGCGCTGGGCTCTGGCTTCAGTGGAGCTGTCTGCGTGGCTAACCCCTGCTCAGGAGAGGGAAGTCTGGAGAAAAGTGTCCCAAAAAATGGAGAGAGACTGCTATAAGAGAATGACAATGCTGAGGAGTATTTAACCCAGGGGGATGCTGTACCTTTTTGACAGGCATGCAGGAAGGAATGGTATCCACTTGTAGATTATTATTACCATATTTTCAAATGGTGAAAGGATGTGTTCGTGTAACCAGCATCCCTCCGTTTCTCCATTGCCACTAACGTTTTGGTTCTGACAGGAAATAATTCTACAGTGTTGCCTAAGCAAAACTGTTATATTTGAAATCCAGTTCTGTGCTTTCTTAAAAACGTTAAAAAAATTGAAGTATTGCAGTTGGGGTTGGGAAGAAAGAGCAGGTCTTGGGTGATCAGTTGTTTCTGTTCCGAGGTGTAGGGCAAAGGGTTTGGTGCTAAAGTTTGTTTTCTTTAAATAGACTTATGGAGCCATTAAAAAAAAATGTAATTGGTCTAAGTGATCTACTGAAAAACATCTGTTGGAATTGTTTTTTCTGAAAACTTTCATCAAAACTTGGAATATTTTCAGGGATTTCTGAAAATCTCTCATTTTAATGGCGGGAGGGGCAAAAGATGGCAAAATCTTTTGGCTAGGTTTGTAGGCTCTAAGACCAAGTTGCTTTACTTTTTTTTTTTTTTTTTATTATACCTTAGTGATAAAACATTCAAGACTAAGGAATTCAAATCCCTCGTTTCCACTCAAATTAAAAGCAAGTGGGCATTCAGATCTCCTAGCTTCAGCAGTCTATAACTTCAGTGTTAGCTTGATACAGCTAATTTGTGTTAAACACACTTTTAAGTGCAGTTATGTTATAACTTATCTCATGGTGGTATTGCCTCACAGTCATAATCTTATGCTTGTGCACAGTAGTTCTCTGTATCCCAATGGACCGGAAAGCTTTATAAACAAATGTAGGCCATCCCCAAGTCCTCGGGCAAGCAAAACTTCCCCTGAAGTCTTCAGGAGCTTTGCTCGCATAACGTCTCTAATTTCAGACCATGAATACTACTGCGTATACAAGCAGGCGTCATTCTTTGAGTGAAGGTGACTTTGGGGGAAAGGCAATAGCCATGTAGCAGCCCACAAATGTCCTCTGCAATAGTTTGGAGGAGAAAATTATGGCTATCAGCTGAAATTGCATAAGGTTATGTGCACAGAATGGGATTATGCGCCAAGGGGTTGACAAGTCTGGCTCAAAACGGGGTTCTGGCTAAAGGAAACCTTTCCTGGGACATTGTGCCGAATATGCGAGTTTGGCATTATTCATATAACGGGTTACTTGCCAAATATGTGAAGACTAAAACCCCGCGCTTTTCATTCAGGAATTTTCTGCTTTAGCATGTTCTCTCCCAGTGCTTTGATGTTCTGGAATTAAAATGATTGTTTTCAGGCTGGCTTGATATTAAGCTGGTTTAATGTCTTTTAGAAGCTGTTTTGAAAGCTTTCCTTTTTCTCTCTGGACCCAGCTCCCTGGGTGAGTGACAGCTCTTATCATCAGTCAGACAGTTCTGAGTTGTGGCTTTAGATAACGAAAACCAAGCCCTAGCATTTTTCTTCTCAGCAGAGTTCTTCCTTTATTTCCTTTCACATCAGATGTTTTTTCTCTGTGTGTGCATATTCCTGTGTGTACTGTACAGCACTGTACAGTACTGTACAACCCAAAATTTCAGCGTCTTGGTGTCCTTGTCCTTACAGATTAGACTTGCAAGGGAGTTGGAGACCTGTCTCATGGTTCAGGAGGCGCTTTCTATCTTCATCCGCAGTTTTTCATTGTCCTGCGATTGAAGTCGCCACTCGTAAGACTCCCCTGCCAGGAGTTTGTCACTTCTGATCCCAGCTATGTTCCTTCCCATAGCATCTTTTCATTGTGGCATGACAGTATTAACGTGTAGCGAGCGCTCTGTGGGTTTCCATCCTGGCTGAAAGACGTCGGGAGAGTTTTAGCCCTTCAGTGCTCTTCAATCATTTCAACTGCCTTCGTTCAGACTCTGCCGTGTTACTGCACTGTATCACTGCTGCTGGAGCAGCCACTGGTGAGCACATTGCAGTGGGGCAACAGATTTTATTTCCACCTGTATGTTCAACATAGCATCTACAGCATGCTTCATGGCCCTGATCCGAAACTCAGAAAGGTCAAAGCAAAGATGCTACTGAGAATTAGACACCTGAAGGTGGAGTGTTAGATGAAGAGCCAGGGACCCTCTCTCCTGTAGCAAGAAAAAATCAGACCAACCAGTGGGGACACCTGGCGCTCCATTGCATTTGCTGTCTTACTCCTTTTATTTTTTTTCCTCCTGTCCTAAAGCCTGGATCAGTAAGGTGAATCACAGCAGGCTCTGGGTGCTTTATCTTGAGCAGGGGTGTTGGGGAAAACGCTATTTCAGTTGTTCTCCTAGCCATGAGCTGGAGTAAATGTAATTCAAGAGCCATCACAACCTGAAGCAGGGAGAATACAGGAATAGGGGAGAGACGATCCAGCAATGAACAACCTACAGGATATTTTTGGGTTTGCCTTTTAAAAGCAACTACCATGTCCCTTAAATTCCAGCAAGATCCCAGAGAGCAGCTAACGCTCTGCCTCAGTGTTGGAGACTGAGCTGGCCGGTCCTTTGTTTGCTACCGATCTAAACCTGCTGCAGCTCTGCCTGCAGAGCTTGGAGGAAGCGTTACTCACATCGCAGCAGGCTCTAAAGCACGGCCCGTTCCCCCTTGCTGGGAGAGCCTGTCCCTTTGCTCTCCCAGTGATTTTGGAGCCAGTGCTTGCAGGGCAGAACTGAGCTCTGGGTAAACACCCCCCACTGAAGCCAATGACAGACCCCGCAGAAGGTTTTATGTCAGTATTTGTGTTAGTTATTTAATGCACACTTGGGTCACATCACTTGAGCTGACATGAGATTTGTATCTATGTGAACATGCACAGCTATTGACAGCTGTGGTTTTACAGCTGGTTAGGATAGCATAGGACAGCATTCACCAGTTAAGGGAATACAAGCCAAATTTGGCTTGCCTTTGCCCCTCAGGTGGCTGGTTGCATATGGCTCTGCCCTGGGCTGGACTCCTTGGGGCCAGACTGGCGCAGAAAGGCAGCGTCCTTCAGGTGTCAGAGTGCCGGAGTGGGCAGGAGGCTGCTCCTGGGCTGATTCCCCAGCCCTCTTGCTCCCGGCTGGGTCACCCTTCCGTGTCCAAGCAGGGCGAGAGCTGCCTTTGCAGGAGATGCTGGTTAGCTCTGTCGGGTGCATGTAATTAAGCTGGGAGAGGGCTGTCTCACCTCTCAGTTTTTGGACTTCAGCAGAGGCACAAGGAGCTGCAGGCTTCTTTTCTTCAGGAAAGTCAGGGCACAGTTCAGTGGGCAAAAGAGGACTGCAAACAGAAAACTGCTGCTGTTTCCACCACTAACTTGATAACAAAAGAGAACATTAATGTCTAAAAAAAAAAAAAAAAAATGCATCTTCAGCACAGCCTTTATGGGCTTTGGATTCCCAAAGCAAATAAGCTAGAAGCATTGCTTCCCCCGTCCTGCTCTTACTCCGGCGCGCTTTGCACAGGGGCTGTGGGGACAGCAGGAGAGCTTGGGTGGGGAAGGGGCTGCTCCCAAGCTGATCTCCCCCCACGCTGTGCAAGTGAGCACTGTACCCCTCAAACGCAAGCGAAGTAATAGCAGCCAGCAGCGGGCGGTTAGCAGGGTGGCCACGAGCGCTGGATCCCCCCAGTGCTGGCTGGCTGGGATCTGGAGTGGGGGGCTTGTAGAGCTGGTGATTCAGGGAGTTGGTGGCAGATTTCTTGGTTATTTACCCATCTACTTTAGCGATATACTCCACATCTAATACATATCACCTGGGAAAGGAGGAGAAGATACCTACTTTTTCTGCTATTTCATGAAGGAGAGCTTAGCTGCCTGCCCTTACAGCTTTTTTGTCATTCTTCTCTCTACTGAGAAAGGAAAGTGCGCTGGGACTCTGCAGCCAGAGTCGTCACCTCCCCGAGGCCAGAGTCTGCTTCCTCCGTCGAGGCTCTTACAAGCCTGAGCAACACCATCAAACGGTGACAAGTCTTGCAGAGGGGACTTAGCATGCAACTAAATATTGTTTGTAAGGCAAACAAATTTATAATGTGAATAAGTAACTATAAGTGAACGTGACATGTAAAGAAATAAAGTCATGCTTTAATCAGCAGGTTATTTCTAATCAGGAAGCCTTCCTTCCTTCCGATGAACAGCTAGCCCTGACAACCAAGCTCTCTCAGTGAATGCTAAGGCAGCAGTATCTTCTGCGTGAAGAGCTAACCAGGAGGAGAATTTCTGCCTCATGATAAAGGCCCAGTGCTGCCAGCTACCGAGTTGTATTTTGTTGATGGGAGCTGCGGGGTTTTGTTTTTTCCATCCCAGGAGGAGGGAACTCGGGTGGTCCCTCGGACAGCAAGGGTTTTGCAGAGCTGGTTGGGCATGTTGGCTGTCCTACCCAGGTAGCCTCAATTGCAAGCCCAGCTTGGGAGAGTGAGAGTTTTCCAGAATACTAGGTAACAACACCTTTGAATGCATATTTTAAGCTGTCAATGACTGACTCTGGTGAGGAGTGGGCCATGAACAAGGAGTTTGTGAAGTTTTAAAAAACATTTTTGGGAAAAAAACTTATTGGCTAAAACATTTTAAAGACATTTTTTCCCCCCTCATCTAGGTGTTGTCAGAGAAATGTAATATATTCAGTTGTACTTGACCGCTATAAGCAGTTCCTACCTGGAGCCTTGAAAACTTTCTTCCGTTTATCAGAGGTTTTTTTCTCAGGTAACCTGTGTGTGTCTGGTTCCACTTCTTCCCATATCAGGACTGATGGCTTCTTCATCAGCCCATACATGCCTGCCAAATTAACAGGGTATGAGCTAAGTTAACTCAATCTTGAATTACATCATGATGTTTCTCTAAAGCCATAATGGGTACAGATGGAATATTGCCACTTGCAACTAATTCTAATTAAAAACCTGAACGTAATGAGCTCTATAGCAGCCATCCGCACTGGGGAGGAGGGAGGCCATAGTTTGCAAGACTCACAGAATTAGATGTAGAGCTGGTTGAAAGACAGTTATTCCTCCCTGCGCCCATTGAAATTCCTTATTACATATTCCATTGGAATTTTAAATCTTTATTTTTTTTAATCAGTTGCTTGAAGTTATTTCTATGAAACCTTTGGAAATGTTTCTGTCAGTTATACAAAGAAGTCATACAGAATAAATAGGAGAAAGCCCTGCTGTATCGACAACCTAATGCACTTCAAAAGGCTCAGCAACACACCAGGATGTCAGATTATTTGCAGAAGGTCAAATCAATTTTATGATCAGGCAAACATTAGCAAATTACTTTTCTTAGAAGGAAGGCAAGCAAAGTCTTTTCCAAGAAATACTCTTGAGGAAAAATCAAATGGCATTTATTAGAAACTATCACTTGCTGGGACTTGTTCGTTTTGAGGTACTTATTCCCTTTGTAATGGTAAGCTATTGCATCCGAATATCATACAAGCACAAATTCAGGTTTAAAAGTTTTCTACTCTGTAGGGCAAATGAATCGGAACTGGGGCCTGTTTATCTGTGGTGTAGTGAATAATCTTTGAGGGGGGATTTTTATCTGTTTGCTTACCTAGCTTCAAAACAGGGTGCCAGAGGGCTCTGACCCATAAAAATGCAGTGTCTACTTAAGGGACCATATTTCCTTTAAATCTGGAGGCTGCTCCAGGTTGTCTCCAGACAGCATATGCGAGGGAGAGGGGAAAGGGTGGCTGCTGGTTGAGGAGACGGTGACTTTCTCCTCGAGGAAAGAAGAGACCTGCCTTGCTTTAGGG